TCCTCTAGAAAGTAAGGTTCCCAATTTTCTGGGGCGACTGCTTTAAAGCTGGATTCTTTTGATATTATATCTATGTATATAGTAAATCAGAGAAGAGAGGGCACACATCCGTGCTTCACCACTGTATTGATTGTAAACAAATCAGATGTGCTTTCTTGTGGTCTAACTGCTCTTTGTGAAGTGTGGCACATGGCCACGATGTTATCTAGCAGTTCTCCTTGTATCCCATAATCCCCTTAATAATATCCCCTAATAATAGCTCAAAGTTTGTTTCTGTCTATTCCATCAAAAACCTTTTTTCTAATCTACAAATACAATATTCAGTTCACCGGCATATTCAGTGGTTTTTTTGCAAACAGTTTGTCTTAGTGTAAACAATGCAATATTTTTATAGACCAATCGGCACACGATGAGTGATGTGGTCAGCATCACGCCGGCCGCCTTTACTTCCCGGGACTGCACGCGGTACCCTCTCAAGGCTGGGTCGATCTGGGAGCCAAGGTCATTTTTGAAAAAATTGTCCGGCTCCGCCAGGGAACGAACCCACGACCTTCCGATCCACGGCGAGCGTCTAGCCGCTCGGCCAGGCGACCCTGGTTAACATTTTTTAGTTACCCATAAATGGCCCGTTCAAAAAAGTGTCAAGACACTGCCGGAGTAACCTGTCATTGGTTAACACTGGCATTTATAAAAACATCAGGAGCAATAATAGGTGACGCAGCTCAAGGTTTCACAGTATTAAAATTTTTTTTTTCTTCGGCTCTTTCCTTTTTGACTCCTCTTTCTTTAAAGTGTTTCACATTAACCCCCACCCCACCCTCTCTTTATCTCTCTCTCTCTCTCTCTCTCTCTCTCTCTCTCTCGTTGAAGAAACGAAGTACAAGTCTCGTCACCATGATTCCTCCGAAAAATCCTTTATGTAAAATATAATTTCTTGAAAATGTTAAAAAAAAAGGGCAAAGCACGTCAATGTCCTAGGATGAAATGCTAGTCCTGGGGAACAGTGTGATCCATTTCCCCCTGTGTCTTGGGACTCGACCACAGACAAAAGGAAATTACACCCAGGAGTAAACCCAGCAGACAACGCACAGGGTTCTCTTTGTGTTAACAGTTAGCCAGTCTCCTGTCTGTCATCGTTCTGTACAAAATGATCGTGGTCTCTGCGTTCACTCCTTGCCAGTTTTGTTGTTTAATGGTTTATTTTACTTACGTCAATAATTTAATTTATGTCAGCAGTTATAGTAGTGTCCACTTAATTTATGTCAGCAGTTATAGTAGTGTCCACTTCATTTATGTCAGCAGTTATGGTAGTGCCCACTTAATTTATGTCAGCAGTTATGGTAGTGTCCACTTAATCTATGTCAGCAGTTATGGTAGTGTTCACTTAATTTATGTCAACAGTTATGGTAGTGTTCACTTAATTTATGTCAGCAGTTATGGTAGTGTCCACTTAATTTATGTCAGCAGTTATAGTAGTGTCCACTTTATTTATGTCAGCAGTTATAGTAGTGTCCACTTAATTTATGTCAGCAGTTATGGTAGTGTTCACTTAATTTATGTCAGCAGTTATGGTAGTGTCCACTTAATTTATGTCAGCAGTTGTGGTAGTGTCCACTTAATTTATGTCAGCAGTTATGGTAGTGTCCACTTAATTTATGTCAGCAGTTATGGTAGTGTCCACCTAATTTATGTCAGCAGTTACAGTAGTGTCCACTTAATTTATGTCAGCAGTTATGGTAGTGTTCACTTAATTTATGTCAGCAGTTATGGTAGTGTCCACTTAATTTATGTCAGCAGTTGTGGTAGTGTCCACTTAATTTATGTCAGCAGTTATGGTAGTGTCCACCTAATTTATGTCAGCAGTTACAGTAGTGTCCACTTAATTTATGTCAGCAGTTATGGTAGTGTCCACTTAATTTATGTCAGCAGTTATGGTAGTTGTGACGTCCGTACAATTGTGACTAGGGGTGTCGCAATGTAACAAATGGCATCAACACTTAACATGCCACTGGCCAAGAGTAACACAACATGATGAATGCTGAAGCTTCCTAACGTAGCGAAACAAGAACTCTCTTTAAAAGTTCCATTTGTGTATTGACAATAACGATGATCAACACAAGGAGAAATATGAAATCAGTAATTCATACTCATTCAAGCACATCAACAAAAGCCCGCTCGTACATCCATGGACTGATATGTCCTCACGATAAATCGCAGTCCGACCTTGAGATCCAGACAGTCATCTTCGGACTGTAAACATCAACTGCAAAGAATACCGGCTTACTGCCGAACTGTGGCATCCCGGGGTAAAACGTCCTCAAGGATCCACCGTGGCATCCCGGGGTAAAGCATCCTCAAGGATCCACACCAGGGCCGGACCACCGTCCGCCTTGGTCAAACTTCGACTTTCATCTCCTAGAATACAATTCCTTCACAACCTGACGTATTGTTTTGACCGTCTTATTTGCTCACTCAGTACCGGTGCGTTCTGGTGCACATCCGCACGCGACAGTAGTGTTCACTTAATGTATGTCAGCAGTTATGGTAGTGTTCACTTAATTTATGTCAGCAGTTATGGTAGTGTTCACTTAATTTATGTCAGCAGTTATGGTATTGTCCACTTAATTTATGTCAGCAGTTATGGTAGTGTCCACTTAATTTATGTCAGCAGTTATGGTATTGTCCACTTAGTTTATGTCAGCAGTTATGGTAGTGTCCACTTAATTTATGTCAGCAGTTATGGTAGTGTCCACTTAGTTTATGTCAGCAGTTATGGTAGTGTCCACTTAATTTATGTCAGCAGTTATGGTAGTGTCCACTTAATTTATGTCAGCAGTTATGGTAGTGTCCACTTAATTTATGTCAACAGTTATGGTAGTGTCCACTTAATTTATGTCAGCAGTTATGGCAGTGTTCACTTAATTTATGTCAATAGTTATAGTAGTGTTCACTTAATTTATGTCAGCAGTTATGGTAGTGTCCACTTAATTTAACTTATGATGGCAGTTTCGAGTTAATTTAAATATTTATGTAAGTTTCCCCTGTGGGTTCCAGGGCCCTATTTTGAGATAAACAAGAATAGACCCACAGAGTTCCCATCAAGTACGCAGTAAAGAGTTGACTTGGCGCTTCATTCAAAGTTGGAGTGTAGCTGCCTGAGAGGTAAGGAACCAACAGACTGCATACAAATAAGCTAGATCTGTAAAACAGATCTGCATGCGGTACTTAGGTTCTGGAACAAGATTCAAGTCCAGATATATTTCATGATCTTAGTGGATATGGCCAAGTGGATGGCTTAGATATAAGCACACGCGTTAGAGTGTGTATGGACAGTGTTGTAAGCATGACCGGGCGTCACTAATGATTAGTTGCAGGGGGGAAGAGGGGACAACGAATAGCGCACCCAGAAAATGTATCCACTGCCGGTATGATCCACCGGGAGCACCTCGCTGTAGAAAACCTTTTCACTGAACCGCGTGTGGTGAATGACGTGGTGAGGATCAGAAGAAGAAACTCCACAGGGAAGCTTCGATCTTCAGTCTATTCACCACACCGTGTGACAGTATAGACTCACACCACGCCCATCTATATCTCAAGATGGCCGTGACTCACACCACCTCCTTCATGCAGATTCGTATACGCCTTTGCTTCAGGGGGAGTGACTAGTGGAGCTGATGCCAGAGCTAAAATCTGACCTAGTAGTACCTTTTTTGATTGAGGAATGGATAGGTAAGCTGGCGTATATGGCTGGCATATTCAGCCTAAGATTCTTGATAATTTAACATTTTTCTTCAGGGGACTTGTACGAATATTTTTACGTATAGAAATAAATTGGATGTTTTAAAAAAAGGAAGCTATAGAAATGTTTCCAAAATGTTTTAATTTTTGGTAGAACTCCACCCCACCCCCTTTTTCCATCTTTTCCCACTTAGCTAATGTCAACTGGAAAGTGGTATTCAACATAATAAGTCAGTATTTAAAGGCGCCAGATGGAAGCTTCAATAAATATTTCTCTGAAAATGAGGATCCTCGTAAAAGCAGCAATTGGGTTAATAATCCCATCTAGAAAGATATTAGCTCTTGCGCACCTGATCGTCATCAAAAAAAGTTGATTGAATTGTCTTCTGATGTCATTCGTGTGTCTAGACATAAGAGAAAATAATAGTTGAATATCAGTTGGAGAAAAAGGGTGGGGAAGGGGGGGGGGTGTATATTACTTTTTGATATACACAGTCTACATTAAATACTTGGACCCAGTGAATCTACATGGATACAATGTTGTCTTGGGCCCCGTATGGTTGCTATGAATCGTTGCCAGTGAATCTACATGGATACAATGTTCTCTTAGGCCCCATGAGGTTGCTGTGAATCGTTGCCAGTGAATCTACATGGACACAATGTTGTCTTGGGCCCCATAAGGTTGCTGTGAATCGTTGCCAGTGAATCTACATGGATACAATGTTCTCTTAGGCCCCATAAGGTTGCTGTGAATCGTTGCCAGTGAATCTACATGGATACAATGTTGTCTTGGGCCCCATAAGGTTGCTGTGAATCGTTGCCAGTGAATCTACATGGATACAATGTTGTCTTGGGCACCATAAGGTTGCTGTGAATCGTTGCCAGTGAATCTACATGGATACATTGTTGTCTTGGGCCCCATAAGGTTGCTGTGAATCATTGCCAGTGAATCTACATGGATACAATGTTGTCTTGGGCACCATAAGGTTGTTGTGAATCGTTGCCAGTGAATCTATATCGATTTCTTGGACCCTGTAGCCTGGTTATGAACCGTATTCCTGATAACAGTTAGGAAAACAAATCTCCTGGAGGAAAATAATGTAAACAAAGAAAGGCTTGCGCTAGCAACGTTTTCCTCATTGCTGACAGTTTTCTTCTCTCCACAGAGCTGATTGTGCTTGATTCAGGTTTTTACTGGAATACTTAAACAAGACACTGATCAGATAAGTGTCAGGAAAGGAAAGACCATTCATTACATAACAATGACAAAACGTGGAAGTGATGAGTACACTGTCCGAACTATGCAACCCGAAGAAGTAGAAGAGACATATGAAATGATTGACAAAGAAGGATGGAATCTAACCCTGGATAAGTTTTCTGCTCTTTACAAGTCCTCTCCTGATAACTTTTTTGTGGCTGTCAGTCCGGATGGAGAAGTTGCAAGTAAGTTTTTGCTTCTTTTCTGTTGTCATCTTTGTGTCAATCAAATATCATTAACTTTTTCAGTCCCAAGGAACACATTACAAGTTTATAACCCCCCCCCCCCCCCAGAAGTCAAATGAACGTAAGATGCAACGATTTTATATTTCTCTTTACTACCCCTTGGGTCTCTTGCGCTAAACCAACTGTGACTGAAATAAATAATAGATTATTAGTTTAAAATATGGTGTCTGCGCAGAATAGAGGGAATTAAATGCTATGATAGAATAACTAATGTAGAACTTTGGGAGAGAACTAAGTAAGCTCTAGTGGACCAAGAGGTGAGGAAAAGACGCCGCCATTGGACAGCACACACATTGAGAAAACCGGAGAACAGTATAACTAGAATGTCTTTGCATTGGAACCTACAGGGGCATAGGAATACAGGAAGGTCAAAAAATACATGGAGACGAGAGCTGGAGAATGAATTTAGACAGATGGGGAGGACATGGGTAGAGCTGCGTGTAATAGCTAAACTGCCTTGAGAATCTTCGGACTGAGGCTTGAGTCAGAAGTAGAACGGAGCGCCTATAGGTTACTGCCCTTGTGCCATGATGTTGATCTGTCGTCTAAACCTAAACCTATTTATTTAAACCTGTGGTCTTAACCTGTAGAAGCTGTCTGCTGGATGAGCAGGTTGAAATTGTTTTGTCTAGCCAAATAATTCCCATTTCCGGTTTGATTTCTCAGCCCAGTTTTATTGACCCATTTTTGGGGCGCAGCTTCGTCTAAAAATTAAATAGTTTATTTCCCACTAAACATTGGACTTAGTACAAACTGTAAAGACAACTTTGAAATATTAGAAACGTGAATTATAATTCTGGGGGATTTTAAACGTGAACACTTTCCGTCTTGTGGCATTTTACAGGTCACAGGCATGACCTTGGCATGTGTGTGTGTGTGTGTGTGGGTCCAGCGTGTTGTTCTCACGGATTTCAGGATGCTTGTAGGATGTTGTCTTAGCCTAGGACGGACATCTGGCATTAGAACACGCAGGGTCAAAAGAATAAAAGGCAGAAAACACACACACATACACACACGCGCGCTTACGGCAAGCACACACTCACACTTGCATATCTATATATATAAATCAATGTTTGTGTGTTTGTTTATGAGCTATAGACTCGGAAACTACTGAACCGATTTAGCTTAAACTTTCAGGATATGTTTGTTTTGATACCGGATGTTTACCCATCATGGTTTGAAATTCTACTGGTCATTGTTAGAGATAGGTGACCACATTTGTTTTAGTGACATTTAATTGTAGCGCACGTGCGATCGACTTTCACGGTGCATGCGCAGTAGAGTCTACTACGTTGACCATATTAGACACAATTACTATTTTCTTTCTTTTCAAACAACCTTCGATGAGTTAGAAGAGTAGTCGGTGGATTTGAGAAAGGCGTGTTAGACACGTACGATTTCTGTGCCGTTTCAATAATACTTGAAGTTTATATCTGGGATATCTGTTAATTAGAAAACAATTGCCTGCCGTTTTGGGTCGTGTTAGAATCGGGACACACATCTTGCTTACTTTTGTTCTCGTTACGTTGTTCAAAAGCAGTTGTTGGCTGGCTGAATGGTTAGTACACTGGGTTCCCGTGCGGGAGACTAGGGTTCGAATCCCCAGTACGGCAGTTTTTTTTTTAACCCGGGGGCAAAATAAAACCTAGACTTGCTCTGTCTTAACGACAGCACTCGCCATGTGACCATAAATACTCCCCCCCCCCCCCCCAATAAAAAAATACAGGGATGTGGGTAAACCAGTTGATAATTAAATTTGACCATTTCACATACTTATGATTTCATTTCAAACTTTGTGATTGCTTGGTTACGCTGAATTTTCATAGATTTCCATTTATTTTCATTTCGATTTAATTATTTCTTCTAACATTGCGTTGGAATTAGGCTGTGTTGTGTATCATAGCGTTGATTTCGTAATTATGGTGTATTTTTTCCTGTTTTCGTTGCATTTCACTTTTTTTTTTTTTTTCTCCAAACTACTTCGATGAAGGAAAGAGTAGTCGGTGAATTGGAGGGGAGGGTGGGGGAGGGTGGGGGGGGGGGGGGGGGGGGGTAGCATAAACTGGTAACTGAAAGAGCTTCAAGTCAAGGTAACTTCCTTATCCACTCAAAGTAGCAGTAGTAGTTGTTGTGATTGAGCGGTTTCACCGTAGTGCTGTCATGTTGAAGACCGCCGGTAAGGTGGTGGCATTTTTCTGTCGAGGAGCGAAATTACACATCCTAACCTGACCAGTCCGTGCCGTCAACATTAGCCAAATCCTCTAGCTCACGACTCCCTGTCTTCTCTGACGGTAAAACAGATAGCAGTGACATTTTTTTAGTTATTGTAGTGGTGGTGGTAGTACTTGAAGGATTCATTCATTCATTCAGTAGCATGTCCCTCGCGGAACCTCGCTGCCATAACAACCCTCCGGAAAACCTTCCTATCCTGAGCAAGATGTCCTGCGTCTGATACACCCATCTGGAGATCATCTGCCACATCCTGCACCCATCTTCTCCTTGGCCTTCCTCTTCCTCTCTTCCCAGGCATATACCCCTTCATTATTGTTCTCTCTAGACTTCCATGACGTTTCAAGTGACCATAATATTTCAATTTTCTTTGTTTTATTGTCTTTACTAGCCAACCCTCTTCAATATTCAGCTCTTGAAGTATGGATGCATTTGTTCTTTTCTTTACCCAAGATATTCTTAGAACCTGTCTGTAACATTTATATTCAAATGCATTTATGCGCTGTTCCGCTTGTTTAGTAAGTGTCCAGGTCTCACAGGCGTATGTTGCAATGGGAAAGATGCATGCTCTTAAAAATCTGACCTTTGTAATTCTATCTGTACAATTCCATAATTTATTCAGTTGTTTTAGTCTTTGAAGAGCAATTGATAGTCGCCGTTTAATTTCTTTCATTGTGTCACCATTGTTGGTAACCAGTGACCCAAGATATTCAAAGGATAGTGTGGTAAATATTACACTAGCCGCATTTACTACTCATTACAATTCCTGCTCCCTATTTTAGGTTACAAAAAAATATCGTCGGGTGATGACTTTCCAATCCTTCGATGAGAGAGAGAGCAGTATTCGGTGGATGGGGAAGGGATGGGGGTGATGACAAAAATTGTTGTAGTAGGTGGATTTGGAAAGGGGGAGGGGCATCGAAGACTATCTCTGTATGAGCGCAGACAATGATTGCTATAGTAACCATTCATGATACGTGCGATTTCTATTTTCATTCTTTTCCATTTTCCAAATCCCACAGCAACGCGTGGCCGGGTACAGCTAGTATGGAATAAAATGAGAAAATGAGGTTAAAAAAAAAAGATAAGGTGAGTTGGGTTCTTTTTTTCCCCACCCTTTCTCGGGGCCTACTAGATTTCATAGGGGAATTATGGGGAAAGTCTCAGGAATGGTATAAGGGTGTTAGGGTGAGGGTAAGTGATAGCTGATGTTTATTTGACACGAACGAACAACAGTAACACACACTGAAAATGATGACGCTGTAAACGCTGCAAACAACCAACACATCCACACAGAAGGAAAGCTGTGTGCACACACTGTGTCGCTCATTGTATGAACATCGAACGAAGTTATACTATAACACCCCTGCAATATAGGAAGTTTCAGGGAAATCATTAGGAAATCTCGGAGCCCCTGAGATGGGACAAAATAAAGTAGAAGAACCGTGAGCTGTATGCGATGGCAAAGGGTAGAATGAGTTGGTGAGGGCCTATACCCCCCATCCCACCATAATTGTTTAAGTTAAGTACAGAAGAAGGAGGTTCTTGAAGTAGTTCTTATTCCTTGAGCTACAGAATGCAACATCAAAGTGGAACAAACCTCAAGCCAGTTGAAATGTTTAAGTACTTGGGTACTCTGATAACATCACCAGGAAGATTTCAACAAGTTAAATGTAGAATAGCATAAGCAAAGGCAGCATTTTTACCAAATAAAGAACATTTTATGCAATCTTTCTTTGTCAGTTGGGACGAGAAAAAAATTCGAAAAAGCTAGATAAATCCTATTTTTATATACGGAAGTGAATCATGGACAGTGGGTAAATTAGTGAAAATTTATTTGGATGTTGTGGAGATGTGGTTTTATAGATGGATGACGAGAATTACCTGGACGCATTAAAAGAGTATGTTTATGTTTGTTTGTTTGGTCAACGGATCAACAACATGGCACACGGTTGTAACCCATCAGTGCTCCGTTCTTCTTCTAACTCAAGCCTGAGTCCGAAGAATCTCACCGCAGTGCACGAACGCTGTTGCACCGGCGAGGATCCTAAAATTCTTTGGGTAGATTTTTAACTCAAAATTTTGTCCGGACGCCGGTAGGCGCTGTGGGAGGGGGAGGAGAGAGAGAGAGAGAGAGAGAGAGAGAGAGAGAGAGGGGGGGGGGGGTTGCGTTGTCTCGAGGTATGGTGTCCGCCTGGAGGTCCCGGGTTCATGCCTTGATAAATCCTGGGATTTTTTCAAGTAGATTTATAATTTTTTACCCTGGTTTTTGCGTAGGATGCCCGTGTGTATAATTGCGCACGCAAAAAAAAAAAAAAATTTCCTTGGCAGTTGGAAATCGAATACTGACAAAAGTCTGGATGTCGTTTCATAATAACTAAAAAAAAAAGTCATCCCATATTGGGCGACGTTTATAAGTGATTTGAAGCGTTGCCAGTTGTAATATGATGTGAACGGTGGGCAACAGTTCGGTGACTTTGTATTGTATTCTCGTCTATTGTTGATTTGAAGAATTACTCTTTCAGTGAACCAATCTTCTCAAGGTAGCCGTATGTTTTGTTTCATTGCACTTTACATGTTTAATTTAAACAAAGACCTCTGTCAGGCTAATACATTCTTGTGGCTTATTCGCAGGTACAATGAGTCTCATTCCGACCTTTGAAGGCGAATATGTGTTGGGAAACCTCGTGGTCAAAGACGGCCATAGAAACAGGGGCTTGGGACGAAAGCTCGTTGATGAGGTTTTCGCTTTGTTTCCAAACGCCGTAGTCTCATTAACGGCCGTGCCAGGGGCGGATCAGTTCTATTTGTAAGTAACATAAAGTCAGGTTAAAGACATGTGGATAATGTCACCCTTTTTCTGTGTGTCATTTGGAGAAAACAGGTTCGATTACAGGGTATGGACCTAATAGCTTATGATTTTTATGTTGCCTCCTGTGTATCTTTCTACTTCTTTCTATAAGTGCCCATGATGAATTGACTATAATATTTATAATCTGTTTATTTCTGATCTGGCCGAAGTTCAACACTCAAGGAAAGGGCAGGACGGATATACAATCGGACAGTTACTGGTACTATCAGAATCGGAACTCTTCGCTTGCTGCTGAAGATGGGGACGGTGCTTTTAAGTGATGTCAGTTATAAATTGACCATTTAACATTAATTTTTATTTCTGTATATTTTTTTACCATGCGTTTTATTTAATGATGTTCTGTTTATACTTTTATTAATCGTTCTTAGATTGTGACCTATCAGCTGCATCGTTTTTTGACTTCTCTATTTACAGGAATGTGTTCAGTTTTTTTCATTAAAGCATTATTGATTTGGTTATACCATTTTATTTCTTCTTTCCCCACAGACACCAGTTGAAAACTGTTTACAGTGTATTAGTGATCTTTAAAATTCTTTACCTTTCTAATCGATTTATCGAAAGAGATTTAGCATTATTGTCATCATCGTCACGTAGCAGGTCCGTTGCAGAATGTCGCTCTCCTCACGGTCTGCATGAAAGAAGCTTGATCTCTTGCCAGCTCTCCCGCCTCGTGTACTTTCATATTCAAGGAGTCACTTAAATCCTGTACCCATCTTCCTGTATGTCGGTCCCTGCCCCTCTTTCCTGGTACCATGCCTTCTGCTATTATGTTTTTTCCAATCGGTCGTGGCGCTTGATGACAAATATTTCAGCTTCTGAGACGGGATGCTGTTTATTAGCCAATCTTCCTTGATGTTCAGATCTTTCAAGATGTCAGTATTTCTCCTCTTTTTTTTTTTTTGGGCCTATGATATTCCGAGAATCTTTCTATAGCATTTCAGCTCAAAAGCGCCTATTCTCTTTTGTAAACATTATTATACTTTTGGTAAAAAACCACTTTCCACGATGTTTCGCCTATTGAGCGTATAGTGCTAGCCTTTATTTTTAGAACAGTCGGAACTCGATGGGTAATGTGGTTTTAACACGCTGACCGCTTTTACTTCCCATGACTTTACATTGTACCCATTTTAGGCTGGATCGACCTGGGAGCCAAGGATATTTTTCAAAGGAATAAAAACCAGGTCGATGCGATGTAAGCCTACAACCTCCATCTGTCCGATACTTTGGTTCTAGGCATGATTTCTGGATAAATCAACAGCTACAACTGTTTTGCAATCACTGACCCAAAAAAAAAATCGAAGATTTTGCCCTTAAATGTTAGAACATTTGTAGAGTTTCACGGACCAAGACCCCTGGTCTCTGGGTGGTGAGATCGGATGCCTGTGTGCATTGTGTCGACATACACAATCCCTTAGCAGTTGGAAATTGAAAAGTGAAGCCGAACGGCGCTGCCGGGCAAAATTTGGAGTTAAACATCTACCCAAAGTATTTCGGCATCCTCACTAGTGCTACAGAGTCTGTGGACTGTGCTGAGCTTCTTCGGACTCAGACTGATGTTAAAAGAAGAATGAAGGACTTATGGGTTACTACTCGTGTGCCATGATGTTGATCCTTTGTTCAAACCTCAGGGACCAAGAAGAAAACTAATTATGTAGTTCTTCATGATGTGAAAATAGTGAGGGAACTGGTTTATAGACAGTATCATTTCACCTGAGCTGAAAGACTGCAGCTGTATTAAAGTCATAATCAGTATCATTTCACCTGAGCTGAAAGACTGCAGCTTTATTAAAGTCATAATCAGTATCATTTCACCTGAGCTGAAAGACTGCAGCTGTATTAAAGTCATAATCAGTATCATTTCACCTGAGCTGAAAGACTGCAGCTTTATTAAAGTCATAATCAGTATCATTTCACCTGAGCTGAAAGACTGCAGCCGTATTAAAGTCATAATCAGTATCATTTCACCTGAGCTGAAAGACTGCAGCTGTATTAAAGTCATAATCAGTATTATTTCCCGTTAACTAACAAACCAAACACGTACTAAAATCAATAATGAACAAATCCACAGTGTTACAGATTTTAAATAGTTAAGCTAGCTTAGTAGTGAACAACAATTGCACAAAAGAAGTGGGAAAAGACTCGCCATAGCAATGCAGAGTCTATACAGCATGAAGAACCTATGGCACAGCACTTTTGAGTCATGCACCCTTACTCAATCATTGAAGAAACAAATCGGAGCTTCTGAACTGAAATGCTACATAAACATTCTTAGAATAAGACAAAGATGCATAAAAACACCAACATCTCACATGATTTGAGAATTGAGGATAATTGGCTCATAAACAGCGTGCTGTCCCAAAAGTTGAGGTATTTTGGCCATGTTTAACAACAGGATGACTCAGAGACAATAGTGATGGAGGCAACAGTGTCCAAAAAATGAGGTCGAGACAGATCTCCGCAATGATGGATACAAGGCATTGAAGATGCATTGGCTACGAAAGCACTTAGGGCTGAAGAATTAGCTAGATAAAGACAAACTTTTTGGTGTGCCATAGCGAGAGCGACATTTCCATTAAGAACCTGCTGATTGATGATGAAGATAAACTGAAATACTTTGCCCATATTATTGGAGTGAGCAGTAGTAATTCAGGAAGGGCCGAAAATGGGGGAAGGGGGGGGGAAGGGGGGGGGGGGGGGGGGGGTATGGTTCCTCAAAGAAGACGCAGGGGTCAGTCGTTGCAAAACGGAATGCAGGAATCAAGGACACACTGGGCATAAAAGTTTACAAGGCGGAATGTTAAAAGGGGACTGAATGGCTTTCTGACACCTCATAATGAAAACGGTATTCTCACAGGAATTCTATTATATTCACAGAAACACCGATTTCCATTTCACACAGCCGCAGCAAGGCCAAGACATTGTTTATATTCTTTTGGACAGAGAAAAACTGAAACAGAAATCTGCCGAAGCTGGACAGCAAGACGTCACAGTCTCTCTTTACAGTGGTCATTCTTTTGACAAGCTGGTGGCTAACAGCAGAGGTTATTACAACAGAACTCAATGCAAGTGAGGGCCACAGATAGGGCCAGATAGTCGGCTTTGGAGTTGGCTTCATCAAGCGGGAAAAGATTGTACTGGATGGGTTGTTTGCAGATTCAGATGCCATAGCAGTTCAAATTTTTACGTAAGTAGCAGCACAGGTGATGGAACCCTAGAGACTTGGGCCCCTAGAGCTTCTGCCCCTGATATGTAAGCCAAGCCTCTCCCCCCTCCATGGTTTCTTTGTTTTAACTTCCCTAAGTTGCCCTGACCGATTCATCTTAATTTTCAAGGGTATAAATACTCTCGGGTTTAGTTAGAACTAAGGGACATGAATGAATATTGCTGGGTTTGGCACTAAAAAGAAGATTTCTGTTTCCTTCAAAATTGACCCTGACTACCAGGATGACCCCCCCCCCCCCCCACACACACACCCCAACCCACACACCCACCCACGCACGCACGCACACCCACACACACACACCCATACACCCGCCCACACACGCACGCATGCAAGCCACCAACCCACCCAGCCACCAAAACACACACACACGCACGCACACCCACACACCCACCAACCCACCTACACACACACCCACCCACACGCACGCACACACACACACACACACACACACACACACTCTCTCTCTCTCTCTCTGGGTGCCAGGTAATATCCTGAGTAGTAAAGAGGACCGGGATGATGGTGACCATATCATCTATCTAGTGCCACATGATCTGTAGCAGGATAGGTCTAGCCCTATATGCCCAATGGGCCAAAGGTGCGAACAAGATTCTTGCCTTGTTGAGTATCCGTATTTACCAATGTTAATGCCATGTGCACAATGGGAGCTTGCTGCAGTGGATGTATGAGTCCACTGATTTCTTTGCAAATATTATATGGAGATGCTCAAATCTCATTCCTTCCTTCTTATAGTCAATGCTGTATGGCACTGGTAGTCATATCTATCGACAACTTTCTGTTTCGTGTACTTTCAATTAGTTCTGACACAGAAGATCTTCCATACCATGCTGTCGAACTGTCCAGCAACTTCTCTCCCAATCTTCCTCTGTTTCCTCTCCAAGTTTGCAACCGCCACGATTTATTCCAATTTTCTTATTCTCATGTCATGAACAAAGAATATAGACAGATTTTCTTTTTTGCCCCGGTCTCAGGCACAATGTATTTCTCATATCACTATCTAAAAGTGAACAGAATTGTCTTTTTTCTCTCTGTTTCGTCCACCGACCTCCATGCAAATCTAACCCTGATATGTTGAAGGAATTTGAAACAGATTCACTAACCTCTAAGCCGTAGAACAGCATCACCGATTCCATATATCTCAATCTCTCAACACACATCACCCTATCAGAATCCCTCAGACACACACCTCTCATCACAACCTCCCCCCTCCCCCCTTGATACACATCCCTTATCACAACTCCCATGACAAACGTCTCTTTTAGCACAATCCCTCTGATACACATTCCTCATCGCAATGCTCTTGACATCCCTCATCATAATCCCTTTGACGCACATCCGTCAACATAATTCACTTGACACACATCCCTCGTCACAATCTCCCTGACATACATTCCCCATCATAACCCCTTGACATTTCTCGTTCATCATAATCTCTTTAATACTCATCCCTCATCACAGTAGTAGTAACAGTTGCAGCGACTTCAGAAGAAAGATAAGCATACATAAAGTAGACTGAAGAGATAAAAAAGACAAATGTAACTTTCATCAAGTAAATGTTTATATTTATCTGGTATCATTACAGAGAAATCGTTGAGCAGTTTCCAGGCATAAATTCTGTGAAGCTTCAGGTGCCATCTTCCAGGCTGTTTTTGTCAGAACTGGGAGCCATTCAGCAATCATACAGGTACAACAGATATTCCCGAGGACAGCCAACATTATCTCCCCTGTCCAAAGTGTACAACGTTAGTGACTGTGATTATACTTATTAATAGTTTTGCCTGTTTTGTGTAAAATAGACTTTCATATTATATTTTTACATTTGTACAGATAAATGTAAAGGTCCCCTTTCCACGCCTTTAGGCGTATAGGGCATATAGTGCTAGACCTATATTTTTAAAGACCAATCGGCACAAGATGGGTGATGTGGTCAGCCGCGTTTACTTCTCGTGACTGCACCCTGTACCCACTCAAGGCTGGGTCGACCTGGGAGTCAAGGTAATTTATTTAATAAGTCCGGCTCTGCAAGGGAGCGAACCCACGACCTTCAGTCCGCATGCAAGCGTCTAGCCGCAATGCAACTCTCTTTTGTACAGATATATTTTTTATATATAGCTTAGGGCTACCAGTGTTGGCTCAGCCTTAACTGGGCACCAGTTTATGTACTGGGAAGAAAAGGTGGCCGGCCACTTCATCCATCCAGTGCTGATTGGTTTTAGTATATGCCCAGTGACACAGGGAGTCTGTTGACAAGGAGTCGTGTTGCATTTACATGGGCACAGTATTGTATCACATAAAGATGCACATATTTATGTCATTTTTTAGAAATTGGTATTTTGTGTAATCTGTATTTTCTTCTTCTTCTTAGTGCTTATGGCTGTAAACAGAACATTCATAAACATTCGTCCCGATGTGGGACATAGTTTTGTTGCTGTTGTTATTTGAAATTCCCAACCCAGCTGTCTTCAGGGGCCCTAATATAATCTAGCAGTTGAATGGGTCGTTTTATATGGCTCTGAAACTTGGAGCACAGCTAAAAGAGATGAAGCCTTTTTACAGGTTTTCAAAAACAGAGTCCTACAAAGAATCTTTGGACACATAAAGATGCAAACAGCGGGGAATGGAGAGTGAGAAGCAACAACAAAATTCTTAATCTGCATATTGAGAGAATTTCAGATGACAGAGAAGGAAAAAGTGTATACACAAGGGAGATGAATGGTCGCAGACCATGAGGCAGACCAAGAAGACGATGGAGAGATAATGTCCAGACAGACGTTCAAACACTTGATGTCACCAACTGGAAAAAGAAGACCAACCAGAGAGATGAATGGAGGCTGGTGATATCTGCAGCAATGAACCTTAAGGGCTAGGAATGCTGAAGAAGAAGTTAAATGGGGTTTATGGGACTGTGGGATTCTCATCCAAATGGTGGCATTTTGTGTCACTGGGTGGTAATCGCTCGCTGTGCAGTCCTGATGTGGTTGAACATCACTCGCTGTAAACTCTGGTTGTTTATCTACTTCTGGATTTTGATCCTGCTTCAGAGCTTGAGTTTTCCACGCACATCCGTTTTACACGTGTGGCTTATTTATATGCAGACTGTTGGTCTCTCCCTCTAAGTCATATGCACTGTGACTTTGAAGAAAACATCTCTAATTAGTCGCTGTCTCTGTCGTATTTTTTAGGGGACAGTGGCTTTATTCTTTTCCCTGACAAAAAATGGGGTCCCCCGAAACACACGTGTGGATGTCTGTATTTTGATTGCGATTCCTGTGTATTTTACTGCTTCATAAACGTTGGCTTGTCTTGAATCATCTAGTTGTTGGCACTTTTCCATGTTTCCAGACAATTAGTGTTAGACAATGCAGACCTGATAAGGAAAACTCACCAGAGACCCAATAAATTATTCTTCTTAACAGAAATTCCTCTTAACATGATACAATTTGAGCAAGAAAGATTGCCAGGGATAAATGAATTATTCTTCAAAACATAAATTTTCCACATCCGAACTGAGATCGCCTTTAGCAGTCTGCAGTGTATTATACATTGGCCAAAATGGGAATGACAGTATGACTGGCAATACCTGCTGGCATTAAGAAACGCCTTTCCTTTCCCGATTCGTTTCTGGAATTTTAGCTTTGTGGACAATGGCTGATTGTGGATCATCGAAAAAGACTGTGGTTTGACTATGGTAAACCGGTGCTTAGTTTATGTGAGTTCCAATCTACTGGCGTTAGTTGGTGTAGCTTGTTTTACTAACACTGTGTGGAAGTACCATCTCCACGGGGACGTCTCACAGAGCTTTCATAAGCATGATCAAAAGAAGATATGGCTAAAAGAAAAAGATTATTATTAATGAATATTAAATAAAATATAAAAATTATAAATAAAAAAAAAAATATAAAAAAAATGCTTTTCTTGAATAACATATAGACACTCAAATGTGTGGTGTAGCTTGAGGGTGTGACCCTTAGAAACAGGTGTGAATGACTGTGTTGTGAATGACTGTGTTGTGAATGACTGTGTTGTGAATGACTGTGTTGTGAATGACTGTGTTGTGAATGACTGTGTTGTGAATGACTGTGTTGTGAATGACTGTGTTGTGAATGACTGTGTTGTGAATGACTGTTGTGAATGACTGTGTTGTGAATGACTGTGTTGTGAATGACTGTGTTGTGAATGACTGTGTTGTGAATGACTGTGTTGTTCCAGGACCCAATGTTTTTAGGTGCGTTTGGCGGAGAGGGGGATCGACCCATTGCCCCCCCCCCCCCCTGTCTTTAAAGCATATCATTCAAGATAACTAATTAGCCCACCAAAACATGCCACCTGCTTTTTTTTTGGTGAATGCAGAAGAATATAATGAAAAAAGAAAAGAATAATGACTGTGGATACATACAAAATAAGACCCCCCCCCCCCTCCCACCACCATCCCGTTAATGTATTGGTAAGGTCAGAGAAACTATAAGGGCTAGATATGTGTGTTGAACACATTTTTCGTCTTCTTTCCTTTACTTGAAATAAATAAATTATCTCTATCTGCAATGCTGCCTCTAGTATGAACTTCACTGTATTAAACACATTCAAAACCCCTATGGAAAACTGAAGTAATAACCCATCTATAATAGGAATGTTATTGTACGTAATATTCCTGTATAGACATGGTTGGGCTCACACCGGGGCTGTCGTATTATTGCTGTGTTGTTATTCTACAAGTCAGATCTAAAGGACAACATCAGAGTACCTCAGGTGATGTTTGTGAAAGTGATCCTGTGTAAATGAAAACCACCTGTGACCATTTGTTGACTGACTCCATATGTAGGTTTCCAGGGCCCCTTTATCTAAAAAAAAAAAAAAAAATTTAATAGACCAACTGGCCTTTAACAAGCATGTCATAAAAGGCGACTGTTTAGGGCCAAAAGGGGTAGATATCACAACCTAGTTGTGAACCACAGCACAACATGCCAACTGTTCTTTTTAACCTTTCAATTGTAAGAATCATTAACAAAAATTACCTTTCCCAAAGGTATTAAAGAGAAATGCTTATAATTCTCTGACACTCCGAAGATGTAATTGCGTTGTGTCCGTTTACAACATGGCTGCGATATTTGCACCTTTCGGCCAACACATCCGACTTCTGCAAGTATTTGTTGACCGGGTTAGTGTCTGTCTTTAGTTACACAAGTTGTCTGAAGGTTTTTAAGCATTAGTTTCTTCTCCATTGTGAAATGGTTAAGCTATTTATCTAACACGCTGAAGGTCATAAGTTCATAATTTAGTCTGTGTCACTGTGTTCAAGAAGGTAATGTTTACGGATACAGCTGGGGATCATCTGTAGAGTTACAGAGTTCTTACTTTGTGTGACAGTCTCAGCTGACGGCTATCCTGCAGACAGAGAGTGAGCCATTTGTGATAAAACCCAGTGCATTGAAGTCTACGCTCACACGTTTTAGGCTGTCGTTTAAAAATGCATGCCATTATGACCACATAAGTGAAATAAATGTTAAACTTTATATTAAAAGAAAATAAACAGAAAGATAAATAAATGCAAATATTTGGGAAATTTATATTATTTATATACTCTGTTCATTATCTTATTGTTGTTTGAACTTGTTTCTCCATTTAATGTCTAACAGTAAATGACAAATCTTCTTCTTCTTCATTGTTCACCGGTTGTAAGCTCTGGTGGAAAGTCCGGGTTGTTTGCATGTACATTGGTTTTACTGCTTTATTTGTGTGTGCGGGCAGATGCATTCTGACTTCAAAGGAAGTCCCCAATTAGTCAGTTCCTACAACATGCTTACTGGAGCGGCAGTGGTTCTTTTTTTGTTTTCCCCCCACACTGGGGCCACAGAACCCACACAGGGAAACTAACAAATAAGCTACCTAACCGTCACTTGTAAGAGGACTTTTATTTCTAGAAAAGAGGGTGCCGGTAATCAAAAGAAGGTGTCTATTACAGTAGCACTGTTAAAGTTGTTGTTTTTAAAAGGTGCTGGTTCTGTGTACCATTGCATACCACCCTGCTTGCAACAAAAACACATAAACACACACATTCATGCATACGCACTTACATACATGCACACACATACACTGCGTAGACCAGTACACTGTTCACAGAAGAGTTATCACGCTTGCTGAAATGCTTAAAGTGTCATTACTTTGCTGACTTCCCTTGCCACATTTCCCCAAGTATAACACACATTTTTTTTTTTCTCAAAAAATATAGGATCTACAAACAATGTGCATCTTATACAATGGTAGTAGATTTTTACTGAATGATTCGTTAGATAATATCTCCTACAGGGCCTCATTCGAAGTGAAGAGACGCCCCTACCCACTAATAGTCATCTCGTAAAATGCGAGTAATTATGAGTTTGTTAAAACTGAATGTGTTGGGTCATTTTGGACATGTAGGAAGCCCCTGTGGTGTAGCGGCTAGATGCTTACCTGCGAATCGGAAGTCGGGGTTTCAGATCATGTCGAAGGCGGGCTTTAAAAAAAAACCATGACCGACGGATCGTACTTACCTACTTAGTCCCTCCTCTTCTACCTTAAATTATCAGTTATGAGTTAGATTATCTTCGCAGCACTCCGGATACATCCATAGGCGCTAAGATTCCAGTCAACATATTCATTGGAGTCGTGCGGTTAATAGTACCAGTCCTATGTTGGCTAACAAGACTTGTGTCCGTCCGGTGTGCTTCTAATGCTTGGCTGGGCTGACCTTTACTCCCAATTCGCGTATTCTTAGCAGTGATGTGGACACGTT